TTGTAGAACACTGATTTATGCCGATAAATAACAAAACTGGTTAGAAACTTTACAACAATTTTTTTGTTCGGTGTAAAAATGTGACTTTGAATTCCCGGAGACCTTTTTTCACGGGACATACTTTTTTAAGGGGGGACTCACTTTTTGAAAATCAATCCGTCCCAGGGACGAATTCTTGGATAGACCTACTGAAAGTACTGCATGGTAAAAAATATTAGATAATCATGTTTTCATGGTAATATGTTTATGGAATTTATGATCACTCATATTTTTTAAAATGCATAGATTTTCATAGGGTATTGTTTTAATCTATTGACCTTAATATATGTGGGGATATCAACACAAGATGATTTTGATATGTAATACTAAAACTATGCTCATTAAAATTAGTTTCACCATATTAATGGCCTATTGTGTTTCATTTGGATTCGAACAAAAATTGAAGAAATATGTTATTCCAAGACCCAAAGAACCAAGTTGCTGTCATTCTATCTCGCATCAAAATTAGCTACTGGCCATCCCCAGACAGAGCCCTAGATGTGATGTCACAATACAATGCAGATAAGATTCCCAGGTGCAGATTGCATAATAATGGTTGTGCAATTATAAAGAATTAGAGTATGGTTATGCTGCAAGATGAGAGACTTTAATAGAGCACAGTCATGTTTGAATAAACATTTAAACCTGCACAACGCTCCAAAACGCAATCTTGGGTTGTTTCAAGGGTGAACTTTATCATTTTGAGCTTAATGAAAGATTATAGAATGATGAACAAATGGGGCAAATCTTGTGTACAAATACTCACGATAAATGTGTCATTACAACGATTATTCATTGAATTGCTTCGATTGTCGACGACAATATGATTTTTGGAAGGTTTCTAAATTAAGAACGTGACGTCACTTCCGAATTATAGCATTCAAGTTAGTAGCGTTTAATTACACCCAACATTCATAATGAATTGGTAGCCCAGCGGTAGAATGCTCGCTCAGCACGCAGGCGGCCCAGGTTCGAATCCCGCTTGCACATTTCTTTTCTTTTTTTACTAAATGATAGTTCTTTGAAATTACACAGAAAAACAATTTTTATTTACAGAAACTTTTATTTTAGAGCTTGAAAATGTAACAACAATATATGTCAAAATATTGCGTTTTGGAGCGATGTGCAGGTTTAAGTTTTTGAATGCTTTATAGATTTTATTACGAAGTTATAATGGCTATTTTAGAATGTCTGAGTAATATTTTAAAATCTGTAGGATATGATATCCTCTATCCTTTTTTAACCACTCATCCAGGCCTCCTAGACTTTAGACTCATGCGGTCATCAGTTTCAGCCTCGCTGACCTCGTTCCTTCTACCTAAACCAAGTTTTTCACGCTTTGTGGTCGCCATGTGGGAACTAGATGCGCGATTTGAGAAATAAGTTAGGGAGAGAGGAACTGCTAGTTCACGACTAAAGAACAAACATTCACGTTGTGAGAAAGTGGTTCAGGTGGAAGGAATGAGGTCAGTGAGGACTGAACTTACAACTGCGTGAGTCAAAGTAGGAAGCCTGTCATGGACATCTCCCATCATCGATATCAACTCAAAATAAAAAAAATCTATTGGAACAGTCAGATCAAGGATAAATATATTCTAAGATTCCTTTAATATGATTTATGTTGTAATTCTTCAAACTTAGAGGACTGGCCAAAGATTTCTTTAACTCTCGAAATCAATCTTTGGTTTGAAAATTGTTACATATCAATCCAGTTAAGGTGTTATGTTTTGTAACGATTTTTAAGAAGTTTTAGAGTATCCGAAAAGAATTTTTTTAAATTGAGCAGAAAAAATGAACAATCTACTTGTCACGGGGTACATGTATTATATAACAATATATTTTGTTTCTAAATGTGTCTGGATCTACATTGGGATTTATAGTACTGCACTTTAAAGTACATTCAGGAGGATGAGGGTTAAAGCCCCTGGGTTAAAGCAACTTTTAAGTATTTTAGAGGCAGAAAATTTTGATTAATACTGTATGTCTGGATAGAACAAAGGCTTATTTAATACCCGGAGCTTAGTTGTGTACCAAACGAAACGAGAAATGACACAAGATCCGGGGCTAATTGTTTGGTCTTCATTAGACAATGGTAATAGGGGGGTAGGTTTTCTCAGACCTAGGTACCTTTTTCTGTACCGTTTTGCGGTTATTTTACTCTATAGCATTGGAATCTGTTCACATCATGAGCTAGATAATTGATTAACTTAAATATATGACATGTAAAAACGGCTTTTTACGAACAGAATAAACAGGGAAATTTAATTTAAGTGGCGATTGTGTTTTGTGCGATTGTCTATATTTGGCTTAGAATATTTACCAGACATACATTCTTATATTATTGGTATGATTATTGACTATTTTCTAATAATTGTAGTGCAGTGATACAACTTTTTCTAAAAACATTTATATATTTAAAAAAATTCTTCAGCATAATCAACTGGTATGGTGTCCTTGAAGTGGTCATGTTGGTCTTTTATTCAATTTTTGCACAACAGTGATCTTTTTATATAACACATAGTCACATTTATAACTTTTAAGGATTTAATATTATTGATAAAATGATTGTAAGTCCATTTAATAGAACATGTACTTTAAAGGGGGAACAAGGACTAAAGAGAGAAAATTCAAAATTTTATTTTTTCTGAGCTATCGGGTCAATATTTGGCTTAACATCTTCTTTGACATACCTATTTTCTTAAAATGTATGGATCAACTATCAATTTCAGCGCATTAAGAACTGTAAATTCAGTTCAAAGCTTCTATAAAGGGAGTCCCACTTCCCACAAGAGGAATATCAGCTGAAATAATGTTCATCCAGGGGGTGTCTTTGTAGATAATAGAAATGTATGTTAGTCTTGATGAAATATCCAAACTTAAATATATTTTGACTCTGGTCGATGATCATTGAATGGCCTTCTGCAGTAATGTTGCACTTTAATAGTGCATATGTGTTATTAAGTCACAAATTGGAACATCATAGATTTTCCACTGGTCAGGGTGAACTGACATAATAAATCTGCTAACACATGATTTATATACAGGTTCATGGTTTTATTGAAATGCTATGCCATTTTTGTGATAGGGAGATGATAGGTTGCTATAGTGATGTTTTGAGATAAAAGGCTGTTTGACAAAATAGAATGTTATGTGATCTTTTCTCCACCTTTCACAGTTGTTATGTATTATTTTGCTTACCTGAGAAATGTCTAAAAAGTTTGTATTTGCATTTTTAAAGGAGATTCATCTCTGTTCATAGTTCCTTGATCTAGTTTTTCTAACCAGGAGGTTCAGAATATGTACAAAAATCTAATTTTTCAAATCTTATTGGTTAACATGATTTGAATCATGACCAAGTAATCTGCCTTATCATCCATTTAACATCCATTTTATTTTAAACTATAATAAAATGCTCTAAAAGTCACTTTGAATGGTCAAAAAGATTTTATTTGTAAAAAATCATATAATGTTATTAGTGTTTCTCAGAGGGTAGAATTTCACTGACTGCTTTGGGTTTCAGGGTATCTGAAGTAGTATGCAATTCTTTAGGTAGGAATATTAAAAATGAATTGCAAAAAATAAATGCTTATTTCAACATCAAGCCTAAAATATCTGCACTGAAAGGAGCATTTTTTATGAAATGATCAGTAATATTCTGCAGTAATGTAAACAAATCCAGTGCCACGCAGTGATCAAAAAGACAGGTTGTTTATGACTTGAGACTTTTATCCAACCAATTACAGAATGTGAAGCATGATAGTGATAATAACAGATTTGTGATTTCCAGATCGTATTGTCATTTAGGCTCTAATTTTTCAGGGCAATATCATCGATCAGATCAACTGAACCTCAATTAAACATTAATAAATTAATCAAAACATTGTCAAATACTTATATCTATCTATCTGATTTTCAAATGTTGCTCTTCTGGCACTTTTTGCAGAGAAAAATTGATTTGTCTAAAAGCTGTTTATTAAAGAATACAGAAAATGTCCGTCATTAACCTGATATAATGGGAGTAAAACAAAGCTTGTTTATATACCCCATGGGAGAATTCCTGTGACATAGCACTGTTATGATAAAGCTACTAACTGTTTGAATTTCTGTTATTTTGGTAATGTCTTGCTCAGAGGCATCAATATTGATCTTGTTGGTTCATGAATGATCGATTTTAATATGTATTCAGATTTCATTGTCAAAGTTATTTCATTGTCTTACCTGATGTGTCATTGTTATGTCACCACCAAGAAGTGGTAACATATTGTTATGGTTTCTGTTTTTTTTTGTGGCAGAGGTTGGTGGTTGGTAATCGGTGGGCGGCGGTTGGCATCTGTAACAAATTCTTAAATCTTCCAATAACTTCACAAATACTGTTTAGACTGACTTTTAATTTTTTTCCAAATCATCTACAAGTTTTCAGAAGTTCAGATCTGACTTTACATTTAAGATTTGACCTTCAATGACCTTATCAAGGTCAAAAAAGGTCAAAAAGGTATTTTTTCAATATGCTTCAAATTGACCAAATTTTCTTTCAAAATCATCTACAAGTTACCATGAGTTCAAATCTGAGTTTAGATTTAAGATTTGACCTTCAGTGACCTTCTCAAGGTCATAGAAAGGTCAAATAGATCTTTTTCAGCTTGCTTCAAATTGACCAATTTTTTTTCAAAATCATCTACAAGTTCTCAGAAGTTCAAATCTGACTTTAGATTTGAGATTTCACCTTCAATGACATTCTCAGAGTCAAAAATCTTGCTCAAATTGACCAATTTGTTTTCAAAATCATCTACAGAGTTCTCAGAAATTCAAATCTGACTTAAGATTGAACTAATTACATTGTGAGCAACTAGGTGCTGACATTTTGTCATGTTAATGCCTTGTTCTACCTGATGTTTATAACTGTAAGTTCAATTATTTGTTTGTTACATTATTAATTTGTTTATTTTGTTATGTATTTACAGATGGATTGAGGAAACCTGGCATGGATAACTCTGGACCAGCCAACCATTATGACAATTCTTCATCTCAGTCATCAGGATCATCTCCTTTCAGGAATTACCCCCCAGCTGGGTCTCCATCAAAGCCTCATTACCCTTCACAAGCATCTCCTTCAAGGTCTCAGTACGCCCCAGCCGGGTCCCCCTCCAGGTCTCAATACTCCTTACCTGAGTCACCTTCTAGATCGCAATATCCCCCACCTGAGTCCCCCTCAAGATCACAATATCCCCCACCTGAGTCCCCCTCAAGATTGCAGTATCCCACACCTGAATCGCCATCAAGATTGCAAAGCCACTCTGAGCTGCATTCTAAACATCAGTATATTCATCCAAAGAAGACTTACATTGCACAAATGGGATATAAGTCACCATCTGTCACCACAGAACAGGAGTTAGTAGTTAGTCAGTCTTCACCAAGACCATACCATAAAGGAAAAGCATTATTTGAAAAGGACAGCATTGACTGGGACAAAGATAAAGGTGTATCCATAGAAACACAGACAATGTGGTCAATCCCTCCTTCCATTTGTTTAGACTTTGATAAAACACTTGCAACATGTACCCGGCCAGCAGTTTTAAAAACTAGCATTAAACCAGAGTTTAACTCTGAAATTAGTAATTGCTTACACAGTAGGCCATCTAATGTTGATGCTGGAACGCTAGGGTGTCAGCCATCAAATGATACGGGAAGAGCTATTCCGGCACCAAGCCAGGTATATGATAATTACGCAAAAGTGGACAATTCACCAAAAGCCCATATGTCCCCGAAAGATCAAAGTCTCCCTGGGAAGATAGTGAATCCAAATAAAAGGCCATCCTTTGAAAATCAAGATGAAACTTTATTAAAGCGTAGACTTCGAGAACCTGGTTTCCAAACATGGGACATAGCACAAAAACAGTTACCTCAGAAAAATACATTCAAAGCACCCCAAACTCAACCGTCATATGTTGTGCCTACAAATGGCGAAAGCAACCGCAATCTATCGTATACACCTCAACGGGAAGCTTCAGATGACAACAGTAGACAAAGTATGAATGATATATCTGAAATATCACTGAAAAAGTTGAGCCCAAGTATTCTTCCTCCTCCCCCTTCCCCCTCAAATTATAACTTCATTCCAGATTCTCCATTTTATCAACCACCATCCCCATCTACTGAGTTCTTGAATCCAAACTCTCCACTGTCAGCATTAGCAAAAATTTTCACGTCACCCTCTTTGTCACGGCCTCTTAACATGATGACGCCTTCTCCTCTAAACAGGACAGACTATGAAGATAAACCAATTGACATGTCCCCAAAATCATCAGAATCTCACCTGAATTTTAGCAGATCAAATTCCTACCAGGATTTGTACCATAGTGATAAAAATGTACCCAACTACAGACATCAAAGCGAGGGAAGTGCAAGGTATGATCAGGATACTCATACTTTCAGTGGAAACCCAGCCATGCACCAGCAGGTGAATGTAAACAGAAGCGATTACTCTGAAGCACCAATACAGAGCTCTGATGGCAACTCCAGTCAGTATCTACCTCCCAGGCAAATCTCTGAACCTAGAAATCAAGATATGATACCTAAGTGTATAACTCAGTGGAGCGCTGATGGTTCTTTAGATACATCTCAAGAAGTTTTTGATATCACAGAAGCTCAGAGTCCAGACCAAGGGACAATTTCATCAACATCATGTTCATCTCCACGTAGAGGCCCACAGACCCCTGGAACTGGTGAATTCAAATTGCCCTATATAAAAACAGAGCCTTCAGACGTAGCAATGCATCCAATTATATCGTCCACACCAGCTGTTCGAAAGACACGTACAGATTCAAAGAACTTCATCTGCCAAGTCTGCAATGATATGGCTGCTGGATTCCACTGTGGTGCCTATGTATGCGAGGCATGTAAGGTATGTATATATGAGATTATCTCATGTGAGGTTAAGGATATCTGGATTATTCCGCAGGGAACATTATAAATCTGCACAAGGCCAAGGTTGAGAATCCCAAAAATTTGATGTTTTGTTGAAAAATGGAGCAGAGAGGATAGATATAGTTTGTATATGTTCTAAGGACAGGGTGAATTGACCTAATAAATCTGCTCACACATGATTTTTACAGGTTCATAAATGCTTATAGAATGAATATACTTAAAGTTATTAAGTAGCTCTGGGCATCACACTTATAAGGAGGCCCCATCGGGAGGGCCTCCTATTATTTTTGTAGATATTATTATCCCATCGAACGAAGTTCGGAGGGATATAAGGAACGCCTCCGTCTGTCCGTCCGTCTCTCTGTTCGTACGTCCGTCTGTCGGGGCAATAACTCAAATACCGTTGGCCCGATTTTGTTCATATTTTGTATACATATACCCTATGGGGATAGAAGTTCTGCTCGATAAATGGCGGCCTTTACTCATTATTTTACGATTTTTGCTGTAACTCGAAAAGTAGTGGAGAGATTTTGTTCATATTTGGTATGTGAATACTATAAGCATGGCACACTGTCTAATGACACTTTTGGTAGAAGGTGGCCATTTTGAAAAATGGTCATTTTAACGTATTTTACTATAACTCGAAAAGTAGTGGAGCAATTCTGTTCATATTTGGTATGTGAATACTATAAGCATGGCACACGGTCTAATGACACTTTTGGTAGAAGGCGGCCATTTTGAAAAATGGCCATTTTAACGTATTTTACTATAACTCGAAAAGTAGTGGAGCGATTCTGTTCATATTTGGTATGTGAATACTATAAGCATGGCACACTTTCTAATGACACTTTTGGTAGAAGGCGGCCATTTTTCAAAATGGCCGCCATTTTAACGTTTTTTTACTATAACTGGAAAAGTAGTGGAGAGAATTTGTTCATATTTGGTATGTGAATACTATAAGCATGGCACATTGTCTAATGACACTTTTGGTAGAAAGTGGCCATTTTGAAAAATGGCTGCTATTTTGCTATATACTTTGTAAAAATACCAGCCATGGCTGTTCATTGGGATTTGCTACACTTTGGCATTGCTGTTGTCTAGTTATTATTATTATTAGGAGGCACCATCGGGGGACCTCCTATTAATTTTGTAGATATTAGCATTATTATTATTTATTCTTCCTAACCCCTTTTTTCCTTCTTCCAACTTACTACCTTTCAAGTATTTTTACTGTATAGTCCTACAAGGGACATGGGCTGAACTTGGGGAAAGGAATTTTTATCTAGGTCAAGGTCAAAGGTCAAAATCTAAATACTTCATTACTTCTTGCGATGAATTAAAATGTAACTAGATATAAGTATTCCCTATAAATTGCTCACTATATGTTCGCATTAATTTTTCATCATTTTTCAACTTGCTTCAAATTGACCTAATTTTTATCAAAAATCATCCACAAGATCTCAGGAACTCAAATTTTACCTTACTTTTGACCTTCAACCTTTGGACATTTGGTTGGTTGACCTTCGAAAGGTAAAAAAGTTGATTTTTCAAATTGATTTTCTGGATTCAAATATAGTTATATTGAATCACAAAAGACCTACTGATGTCTAAAAAAGTCAAATTTGCAAGGTCAGGGTCATCTAACTAAATCACAAACTGTGTTTTCTAAGTTTCTCAAAGTTGATGACTACAAATCAATATATATTCATCTAAAGGTTCTTCACATATTAGCAATTGACTATCTATTAAAATTATGCACCAGTTTTGAGATATTAGAACTCAAAAACTGAAAAAGGTCAAACTTCAAAAGTTTTCAAGACTAAATTTCAACTTGCTTCAAATTGACCAAACTTTTTTTTTAAATCATCTACAAGATCTCAGAAACCAAATCTGACCTTACTTTTGACCTCTGACCTTTGGTTGACCTTCAGTGACCTTCGAAGGTAAAAAAGTTACAAATTGTTTTTTTTATTCAAATTTAGGCACATTTAATCACAAAAACCTACTGAGGTCTAAAAAAGTAAAATTTGCAAGGTCAAAGGTCAAGATCATAGAAATAAATCACAAACTGTATTTTCTCAAAATTGGTGGCTACAAATCTATATTTTTGGATGAAAGTCAGGATATTTGTTCCTCTAAAGATTTTTCATATACAGGGTAGGCCAAAAAAATGCCACTTTTTTTTCAAAATGCTATTATACTTTTTTAATTTTTGATAAAAAATCATAATTTGCATACCAAATGAAACTTGGGGTTGTTATCTAGCCATGGATCATGAATTATACACTTTTATTTTAATAAAATATGTCACCAGCGTCTCTCTTAAACATGTGGGGTGCCATGAGAAATAAGCATAATTTGCAAAATGTTCCTAAACTGATGACCGCCAAACTAATAGCCCTAATGCAAACCTCAGTGAGTATAGGGTATGGGAAGGTCTCCAGGAGATTGTATGAAGGCACCCAATCTAAAAAATTGCTCAACTAAAGCTGGCAATTCAGACATGTTGAAAAAAATAGCTAACATTTCATTGATACTGCTATATCAGCAAGGCGACTAAAACTAAAATCTATCATCAAATAGGGTGGCGTACCAATTGAACTCGTTGGACAGAATGTTAGTACAAATGCACTCACCTTCGGTTCGTGCTTTGTACAACATTCTGTCCAACTCGTGCTGAATTTCACCATATTGAATGGCCTATCATTATTTATTCCTTAAATATAATAGTATAATCTTTGGTTTTACAAACTTGTATGATATTTGATAAGTGTAAAAGTTGTTTTTGGAGCATTTTTCTATAGCCATTTTGAAGGGAAAAAAATGATGAAAAAAAGTACAATCTTTTAATTTTAAGTATGACCTGAATCGATTGCAAACTTCATATTTGCACATTTGATGAGATAAACCATTTGTGTCGTATTGTGAAATTATTAAGTTTGCAATCGATTCAGGTCATATTGTATTTTTGGTATTTCTGCGATAATCAATGGAAACCAATGGCCTCTATTGGGATCTGCTGATATCCTCATGTTAAGTCAATGGTGCACAGCCCCATGTAAGTCAATACAACCTTACTGAACGAAATGATCCCTATCTCAGCTTATGTGTGTCCAAGCACTTTAATATTTTCCAAAGTATTAAATGACATTTTATTCTTCATGTTACACCTACGAATGATTCATTTTGACTATAGGGATATTTGCCAATAATTGCACCTTGTCCTTTCTAAGAATACTTCTTGATTTGAAATCTACAACTGATTTGTTTTTGGCCATACTGGATAAATCCTGAAAAACCTTTATAGGATCACCTATTGGGGACATGTTATTATTATTATTATATCTTGGTTACCGCCATATTTGGCGAGCAATACCTCATTGGTATATTCCGTGTTTTACGTATTTTACACTCGAAGATAGAGCCAGAAACCCCTCCTTGGAGGAGCCCTGTTTTCACAGGAGTCGTGAACCACTCAGTCAAACACCCAGAATTACATAACGCACAAACAAACTTGTCTGAACCGGGAATCGAACCCGGGGCCAAGCGATATTGGTAACCTTGACTCTCTCTGCCACTGAGCCATAGCGGGTGTTGTACATGCATACATGTGTCCTTGACTTTAAAATAAGCTGAGATTAGCATTCTATTTTCATCCCAGAAAACATATGATAAGGTATTGATATTAAATATATATTTTTTTTTTTTTTTCATTTCTCATTTATTCCAAATATAACATAAAATACATTACAATATTATTGCCTACGTTTTTCAACATTGTCGGCAATATACAAAACATATAAAAATGGAAACAATGAAAATACAATAGATAAGGTACATAATATTAATGGCAGGGAATGTTAGAGGCTTTCGGGGGGGGGTTAATCTAAAATATCAAGAGCCTGGCAGATGTAATGGCTAACTATATGAATAATTTGTTCATTATCAGTTACAGTGAGATTTCTGTCTCCAAATAATAAAAATTGAATTTTTTCATGAGAGTTTAAATTTTGGAAACGATTGAAAAATCCTAAGGTTTTTAGTCCTGCTAGGAGAGTGCATCTTTCTTGTTGCAGCAGAGGGCAGTTTAATAAAAAGTGATGCGTTGTTTGTTGTATGTCACCACATACGCAGAAAGGGTCATTTACTGTCACAAAGTTATGGGAATATAACTGTGCTTTTAGAATCAGTCCAGCTCTAAATCTATTGAACAGAATTTCAATTTTCCTTGGCATTGTCATATTCATTTTAGTAGTGGATACTCTGGAGTCAGGGCTCATATTTCCTCTTACTAACCTTTTAAATCTAGATATTGGTTGGCCTTTCCTGTCCTCATATGGTATGTCATCCCACAGGGTCATAGCCCTGATAATGGTTGACTTTTTGAACGAATTACTGATTGGAAAGGGTATTCTATAATGCCTTGGTTGTCTTAGGGGCCGATTTGGAATATTCTCGTATGAACTAACTAAATCACAAATGAAAGGAGGGAAACAATGGTATCTAGTCTTGAAAGCAAAAATTTTAAGATGTTCTTCTCTCCTGGAAGCTAACGTTTTCCAGTTGAGTAATGATAAAACTTTCGATGTGTTTGAACCGTGTATTGCTCCTGACACATGGCAAGCTGCTTGATAATGAAGTCTATCCAATGTCAATAGTTTTGAAGTTGATGCCTTATCATATATTGTATCACAGTAGTCGAAATGTGGTAGTATAAATGAATTATATATATTCTCTAGGTATTTACTGTTTAGCATTTTAGTTAACTTTTTCAATGGTCTCATGAGAGAGATTACTCTCTCTATGAGTTGGTCAACATGTGAATTAAAGTTTAGATTTTGATCAAGTACTAAGCCCAGGTGTTTGTGTTTGGTGCAACTAGGAATCACATCTCCTCCTAGTTTTAAAGGGACTGGCTCTTGTAATAGTCTTCTATTAAATATATCTGACGTCTGATTTTATTTGGATAGATTGTAAAATAACATGGCATTTGAATCAGCTTGCAAAAACATCATTGAAGGACTCTTTTCATAAAATGGGAAGTAGAAATATCAAACAAATTGAAGTCAAAACCTCTAAATAACTCCTAATTTTTGTGTCATGTGACCCAGATTTGAACAATTACACATGTGGTAAGAAATTTTAAGGTGGTAGTTAAAGGTGCATGTGCAGTATGGCAAGTGATTTTAGATGGTCATATCTTTCACCATGAGTACTTTCTGGGCATAAATACAGTAGTTTTTATTAAAACAATATGTTTTCTTTCAAGTGAAGTCCCCATGATGATAAAAATATCAATCGAACAATTTGAAAAAATTTATAAATAGGGACCCCACATCAACATTTTTTCCAATATGTTGAACTTATTTGCTCAAAAGAGGATCTTCTTTTTTCTGATTTTTATTGCATGAAAACATTATTCAACAAGGGGTCTAAAACATCTTCAAAAGTATAATGGTATTGAAAGTCTAGTTTTGAAGATATCAATGTTCGATGACCAAAATCATGCTGAAAACAATGGATAGCATGAGTTTTCCCTATGGGAAAATAACATGGGAAATGTGGTTTTTAACTTTATCGCATTTCAATACCCATCCCCTTTTCAGAAGTTATTATCCCAACGAACGAAGTTCTGTAGGGATATAGTGAAGCCCTCCGTCCATCTGTCCATCAGTCAGTCAGTCAGTCAGTCCGTACGTCTGTCCGGAAGATAACTCGAATACTAGTCGACAGATTTTCTTCATATTTGCTGGAAAGATGTATATTGATGAAAAGTTTTATGCAAAAAAAAATTTTTTCAAGATGGCCACCAGTTTAAAAATAGCGGGAATTTTCTGCAAAAATCTTATGTTTTTCATTTTAAACCAAAATAATAAATATTATTATTTGAAATTTTGGTAGTATATTTACAACATCTATCTATTTCACATATATCCTGGGTTTTTCATCCTGATCCTCAGGGGCCGTAAATGGGGGATTGGGAAAACAGGAATTTGCGTTAATTTTGAGATATTTTTGAAGTATAGCTTTATTATACTCAAATGAAAAGCAATTTAGAGTAGATTGCAAATATTGTAACGTTTTTCACAACTATCGCATTGTTTTTCTGATTTGCGCCTCTGAAAATTCAAAATGGCTGACTAGAGCAGAAATTCACCATTACTTAGAGTTATCTTGAAAGTATGGTTACATGATACTGCAATGATTTAAAAATTTTATTGAAGGTAAGAGTAGATGGTAAATATTACATATGTACAATGTGACTGTACAGATTGATGATTTATATAGTGTTCGTTGGGATTTGCTACTTCGTGGAGTTGCCATTTTCTAGTTAATATAGTGCTGAAGAAACTTGAGAAAAACAAGATCCTCTTTTTAGAAAATAAGCCTTGCATTTTTAAAAAAGTGACAAGGTGGGGTCCTAATCCATAATTTTTCAGAGAGTGGGATTGATATTTTGATATCATGGGGACGTAACTTTAAAGAAAACATATTGTTTTAATAAAAAACACTTTATTTATACCCAGAAAATACTCATTGTGAAAGATATGACTGTCAAAAATCACTTGCCATACTGCACATGGACCTTTACAAATGGTAACCATTTTTAATGAAAAGAGTAATTTTTGATATACAGTGCATATCAAATAAAACGCAACAGATTGTTATCTCGGAAAAGCACAAAACCAGTGATAACAGCATTGATTTCATTCAATGTACCATAAAGCCACGTGTCTCCTCTTTACAATGATATATCATTCATTGATATTTGATCATGGTTGAGCAAGTAATCATTCCATTTGCAAAGTGGGCCAAAATTAGCTTGGGACCAAGTTATAAAAATCTCAAAAGTCAGTGTACGGAGCCCGGTGCAATATTGGAAGAAAATATAGAACCAATACTGACTGCATCCTTTTCATTCAATGTACCAAAAAGCCAAATTACTCCTCTTTGCAATGGAATATCATTCATTCACAGGGAGTCATGATTGGCTGAATAATCATTAATTTTGCAAAGTGGGGCAAAATTCAGCTCCAATCTAAGTTTTAAACATTGCAAAAGTCAGTACAAGGGGCATAGGGGCTATTGGAAGAAGGTGTGACAGGTGTGGCATAGACAGTAAAGTGTTCATACTCATGCTCTTGCAAGAATACATCCTATAATCCCTCCAAAAGCCACCACCTCCTTGCACATAAAGATGCGCTCATCTGTCCATGTCATGCACGGTTCAGCATGAGTCATCTGTGGGTTAAAGCAGAGAAAAGCAGCCCATGGGCAATTCTTTCTCGAGGTTTTGCAATATCTGGTGGAGGAATTGTGAGCACAGATGCTCCTGAGATAGCTCCAAAAGAAAAAGTCACAACAATTCAAGTCACTGGAACTTCCATTGGCACTTAGCCCTTGTACTGATTTTTGCAATATCTAAAACTTGGAGCAGAGCCGATTTTGACCCACTGTGCAAATGGAAGGATTTCTCACCCAACCATTACCACATGTGAATTAATGACATATCATTGCAAAGAGGAGAGACGTGGCTTTATGGTACATTGAATGAAATTGATGTAGTCATCATTAGTTTTGTGATTTTACGAGATAACTGCTTGTTGCGTTTTTTTTGATACGCCCTGTATTGAATATAAGTTATCCGAATTAGACCTAATTTATAGAATAATGTCTTTATGGTCAAAGGACCTCTACTAGAGAAAGAATTTCTGACATGGTGTGACGTCATGTCATGGGTATAGATTTTGCTAAAAAGAGATAATACTGGTACCTGGTTATTTCTTCATATATTGATCAAAATGACAGTGATTTGTAATATGAAGATATATGAGGGCTATATTATGGGAGGTTTTAAATATAGGGTATATCCTCAGGGAAATATAGATATCCTATTCCTACCGAGGGTACAAGGTAAGATATTATTTTTCTTGAGGGATATAGCCCATATTCAAAACTAAGCATCATATGACTGAGGATGATTTTACTTCAAATGCTGACAAATAACAAAATCTTTATCTTCTGTATTACCTTCAAATTTAATGCTATACTTTCAGAAATTTTTCCTGAGATGTACCAAGCAAGATGTTGTTAAGTACATGTGTGGGAAGCAGGGAAGTTGTATCATAACCAGAGAAACGCGAACACAGTGTCAGAGCTGCCGATATGAGAAGTGCCTATTTCTTGGCATGCATAAGCCAGGTAAGTATTAGGTGTTGTCATGATTCACACCTAATTCTACATTTAATAAGACATGTTTGTTGGTTCTGTTGATTAAAATGTGCAGAAATCATCTTTTTCGATTACCAATTTTTTATATCAATTTGTTTTCAAGTATGATGATTTCTCGTCACCTTAGAAATGACCTTGGAACCAAGAGTGAGAATCAAGAAACCAAGAATGACAAGAAAATCAGTTACAAAATTTTTCATTTTGACAATTTCCAAAGAAATATAGTGGGCTTTAATAGAGTACTTACACTGAAATGCAGAAAACATGACGCATTTTGTAAATCGATGCATCCTCCCGATGAATATCTATCAGTGGGTGCTTCCCACATCATACTAAGCTTATATTATCTCAAATAGTCTATAATGAATGAAGAAAATGATCACGTTTCAGAGATTTGTGATCAGGGATCGTCAAGGTCATGAACTTTCTTGTTTATTTTTAAGATTTCTGAACTTTTGCATGACTTTAACACAAAAAATTATGATCTGTCATCAAATTGAAAATTCAAGGTATAACTTTAGATTGATATCTAACAGTTTATAGTGGAAATATTTAAGATAATCGTGGAAAACAATTCCTTCACCTCGAGGGGCTCTGTCAATATAATTAGATTCTTGCTTTATTTTAGCGATCTTTACCCTATTCTCTCCAATAACGATAGATATCATTATTGTAAAAATATGCTGTCACTTTTGTTGCAAATAAGGCATTTCTGGCAAGAAAAATACCCATACAGGAAATTCTTGGGGATTTTTGACTTCTCTCTTTGTAATGGGTTACAATGGGAGCTTGTTACGGCGAATACAGTATATGTCGTAAAACGTTAAAGGCTGGCAAAACTTTATAGTATAAATTGTGGGTTGTTGTAATTCTTTTATTCGGTTGTTTAATGGTACAGCAACTTTAAAATATGAGAAACTATATAGAATGTTCAAGTATTGGAATTTGGGAAATATAAATTTTTTCTTGATAAAGTGTGTGTCTAAATTATTGTTGCACTCGCCCATCTTAAATAATTTATACACTATCATTGACATTAGATTGTCCCACTCTGTCCACCTTGAATGATTTATGGACTATAATTGACATTATATGGTCTCTGTCCACTTTAAATGATATAATCTGCACAATCATTAGGATTAGATTGTCCCACTCTGTCCATGTTAAATGATTTAATTGACATTAGATTGTCCCACTCTGTCTACCTTAAATGATTTATGCACTTTAATTGACATTATATGGTCTCTGTCCACTTTAAATGATATAATCTGCACAATCATTAGGATTAGATTGTCCCACTCTGTCCATGTTAAATGATTTAATTGACATTAGATTGTCCCACTCTGTCTACCTTAAATGATTTATGCACTTTAATTGACATTATATGGTCTCTGTCCACTTTAAATGATATAATCTGCACAATCATTAGGATTAGATTGTCCCACTCTGTCCATGTTAAATGATTTAATTGACATTAGATTGTCTCACTCTGTCCACCTTAAATGATTTATGCACTAACATTGCATAAATTAATTCACCTTGAACCTTGAAAGATGTATGCTCTGTTAATGCCATTATATTGACATTATTAATGTTTTCGGTCACTCTAACTGTTAGCTAAAGTGCAATGACTCACAATAGAGTCATAGGGCAATATTGAATCTGTCTTAATGAAACAATAATATTATGTCTTGTGGGTACATTGATATCAAGATAAAAGTAAGGGATATAACTACTGTGATCAAAAGGCCACATTGATCCTTTTGTGCATCTAATTGAATGATGAAACAATATGAGTAGAAGTATAGTAATTATAAACTAATAATAGGAGAAGTTCATATTTATCTGAATGTTATTTTTTTCATAGACATCTTTTGAACGACTGATTTCACTTATTTTACTCAGGTTTTAAGTTTAAGATAGTTTTAAAAATGATGTAAAGGAATCTACTGGTGTCTGCCATTTTGATATTGAGTCTAAAGGAGGAGACAAAATTGCAAGCAACATATTATTGTACTGTTGACCATCTTTTCCTTACAATGTGAAATATACAAATGTAATATCTCCCCAAAAAATGTTGATGTCATAATTGGTGATTGGTAATTGGTGAATCATCCCACCGAATGAAGTTTGAGGGGGATATAGGAAAGCCGTCCATCTGTCTGTAATATATGATAAGAGAGAGTGTTTTAATTTCAATATAGTTTCCTATCCAGACCTCTCAGGAAACATTCCAAGAAAACAATCATATGGAATCTATGTGTCACAGATAATAAGAATATAAAGAGTCTGCAGTGATGAAAAATTGCTTCCAAAAGAATCAAGTCCTTGGGGAAAAATTTAATATCTCAAGGATATAAGAAAGAAAGGCTGTCAGCATATATCAAAAAGACAATTGCTAATAATAAATGGATACAGATAAAACACAAAAAAGCCAAAAAATCAAATATAAAGATATGGTCAGAGACTAATAAGGAAATAAGAAAAACAACAAGAACGAACAGAATCTAGATATCAGTCTCATGAGGATAAACTATAGAAGAAAAACAGCAACAAAAACAAACATCGATAAAGACAAAGGGAAGGGGAGTGTTACCGGTAGAAAAAGCTTCAACCCACCGACGTGTAGTCACAAGTCTGCAGACCAGACAACAAACAAGACCAAAGAGAAAAAGTAATAGGGAGAAAGAAGACCAAGAAAGAAGAAACTAAAGAAGCCAAGAAAGTAACAACAACAGAAACAAAGAAGAAGAAACTAAAAAGACAAAGAGTTAAAGAAAGACAAATAAAATCGGAAGAAGTAAGAAGGAAACAACAGCAACTACAAATAGATTTTCCAGCTGGACTGAATGATGATGACATGAACAGCATATAAACAAGACATTCGTCCATTTGTCCGGGCGATGACTGAAATACCAGTTGACAGATTTGATTTAAATTTTATAGGCTTATGCCTTATGGCGATAGAACTTCTGCTCAAGAAGGAATTTTCAAGATGGCCACTTAATTCAAAATAGCCGTAAAAATGTAATCTTTGATTACTCACATACTAGTTGATGGATTTGGTTCAAATTTGTATGCTGATGCCTAGGGACAAAGGAGCTATGCTGAAGAAGAGATTTTCAAGATGGCTGCTGAATTTCAAAATGGTGGCCATTTTTCGTAAAAAAAAACGTAATCTTTGATGACTCAAATACCAGTGAATGGATTTGGTTCAAATTTTATATGATGATGCCTAGGGACAAAGTAGATTTGTTCAAGAAAGAATTTTCAAGATGGCGGCTGAATTTCAAAATGGCCACCATTTTTCATAAAAAACGTAGTCGTTGATAACTCAAATACTAGTTGAAGGATTTGGTTCAAATTTTATATGCTGATGCCTAGGGATAAAGGAGCTATGCTGAAGAAGAGATTTTTAGAATGGCTGCTAAATACCAAAATGGTAGCCAATTTTCTTAAAATAATGTAATCTTTGAAAACTGAAATAGTAGTTGAAGGATTTGGTCTAAATTTTATATGCTGATGGTTACATTTTATATGTTGATGCCTAGGGACAAGCAAGATCTGCTCAAGAAGGAATTTTCAAGATGGCCACTTATAAGCAAAATATGTTTTGATTGGTGGGATTTGCTACTCCGTTGAGGTGCTGTTTTTCTTGTTGATTTTTAATTTTTCAGGGTTTTGTCTTCTGCAACTTCAATTCTGGTTTGATAGCCATGTGTGACATGTTGAATCATCTGATAAGCTGATCATTAAACACAGAAACTAGAATTGCGTGAATCCACATCGCAGCAGGAAAAACGCAGAATTTGGGTTTTCAAAATTTTCCAGAATTTGATTTTTTCGTGGAAAGCATGATTTTTCCAGTCAACCACCTCATCTCATATTTGTCACTGACCTTGACACCTTAGACAGTCAGTTATCACCAGAAACTGGTGTTATGAGCATTTCAAAGGGGAAATGGGAAATCTGTTTAAAATTCTCAAACTTCCGGCTTTTGCACTTAAGGTCTCATGGAAGTTAACAGGAAATGACAAAACAAAAAATGACAAAGCCATGCTGGATTTTGAAAATTTTTTGAACCAAGATAACAGAGTTCTGTTTGGACCTCCAGTCAGTTTAACTAGTTCCACATATCATTTACATGACCGGGAACACAATTGAAATGGTCAGAATGACCATAAACATGATAGAATAACCTTTTCAGCCCTCTGAAAATGTGACTAAAAAATAGCTTAGAGTCTGTGCTCAGGAAAGGTCACTGAACAGAATCTTTTGACTTTTTCAGAAAATGTGCCCACTATATTGCTCTAAATGATACAATTTAAACAAATTTGATATCATTCTTAGAAAAAGAAAAAATTTAAAAAAACTGAATTGAAAATCGATCTATTTTCCTTTTTACTACAGCCATTATTGTTTCAGACAATTTTTTTAAATTTCAAAGATTGTGTCATTTAGAGCAATATATTGGACACATTTTCTGAAAAAATCAAAAGATTCTGTTAATTGACCTTTCCTGAGCACCTACTTTTAGCTATTTTTCAGTCACGTTTTCAGAGGGCTAAAAAGGTTATTTTATCATGTTTATGGTCATTCTGACCATTTCAATTGTGTTCCTGGTCATGTAAATGATATTTGGAACTAGTTAAACTGACTGGAGGTCCAAACAGAACTCTGTTATCTTGGTTCAAAAAATTTTCAAAATCCAGCATGGCTTTGTCATTTTTTGTTTTGTCATTTCCTGTTAACTTCCATGAGACCTTAAAGATTACGTCTAATATGTCATGAAATTTGAATTCCCTGCTATTTTGTGATAGTTCAGATGAAGCCGTTACTTGCAGAATTTGGCGCAGAATTCGACTTTTTCATGCAGAATTTCTGCGCAAAATCTGCATTTTTCTCATGCAGAAAACGAGGATGTGTGATTAAATATATTCAACAGAAAATTTGAAATGTGTTATTTATAGCAGTTGCAGATATTGAATGCTGGGGTTGTACTTGTTTTTTGCAAATTCACACATGGCTAGGCAAGGTGTGTCTAATTCCAGCCAATTCAAACACAGTATTTTTACATGACAGCAGTGCATGAAATAATCATCAACGCATTTATTGTGTATAGTTGTTAAGGTGATGAGATTACAATTGATACTTTGCCAATACTTGATCCTTGCAAAAAGTTTCATTGAAAATATCTTCTTTTTGTGATTTTGTATCTTTTGGGTGATTTTTGTAGAAAATATTTTGCAATGTGTGAAAGAATTTAAGTCCAAGACTCAATGCATTGTAGCTGCTTCATTCCACTAAAGGCTTTGTTTCCTAAACTTTGCATTACCGCTGCGCGATTTGAAAACAACACCTTCATGGTATGATTCAGCAAACAATGCACCGTGTCCAGGGCTTGAATCCTTAATCAACATTTTGACTCGTTTATACTGTGCATGAATCAACATTTTGAGTTTTGGGGAGGAAAGCCGTTAAGACTTAACTACATGTAAATTAATTTCTTCTTTGATGGACATTGAAATATTGACCCAGCCCTTAAGTCACATTTTAACATTTTTATCTTATTCCTAGGCCTCATGTCCTACTCTATATTAATATCAATGTCACAACATGTGTTATTACCACTTGACTTTTGTAAGTCATGCAATTCATGCAATACCCACTAGGGTGTCTAGCGGCTTGTTTTTTATAGTGTATATTATATAAAAATTATGAAATAAAAAGAATTGAATTGAATTGAAAAATTTTCAACCACATGTAACTGTCCCCTTAGAAATTTGTATTTTTCAAAATTTTGCGAATGAGATTTGGGATTTTTAAAAATTCAGTGTGTATACAATATTTTTCTATTTCTTACGGAAATACTTACCAATACTTGGAGGAATCAGGCTAAATTTTATTGAAACGAAAATTTCTAAGGGACAGATTTGTAATTCGTTTGTAATTCTAACATTTTTATAAAATTGGGTACTCAAATATAATACCCTGATACATCTACTATAATGTAACATTGTTAATACAGATGTGTAAGTTAGGAGTATATTGTGACCTAAACAGAACAACATGTTTATCATTTAACTTTTTGTACTTAATACTGAGTAGACCTTCATTCTTGGGAATACTACTAAAATTTACAATATATGAGTGTTTAAGTAGTACATTGACCTTGTCTAGGGCATCTTGTTTAAAGATGTCATTTTAAGTGTTTAAAACTCCATATGTATAACTTGATAAAACACATAGTTCGAATAATGTTTATAAGAGGCACACGAAGCACCATACATACTATAAATATTCAAAAATGACAAAGAAAAGACACATAGTCCTTCACTCAAAATTTTGCCATTTTTGGAATCACCAAAGTCACGTAACAATGCGTCATAACATTATTGTATTGGCATCTGGGTATTCGGGTTCTGGTGTTAATAAAATCACACTTTTATTCCGCTTTGGACACAGAAAACAACAAACAATTACTTTTGGAGAGACTTCACATATTTATTATTACCCCAGTATAACAAATAACTTATGAAGCGTTAGATTACAACATCATTTATTGTGCAGCTCTATACATCCATAAGTGTGATATTCTTACAAATCATCAGTCTATACATAACTACTTAGAATCTCCCACTCATACTCATGGCTAGGCTAGATGATAGACTTTGTACCACATATGGTCAAGATGACTGTATGGTTGCATCTGCTCAGCTGCTATGGAAGGCACATGCTTTATGTTCTAGTTATATGAGTATAATGCCCTATAAGAGCATAATGCCCTAAGTTGTCTATGATATTATAAACATATATCTCAATCAGTAGATGGTGTTGGCAATATATTCCCTTATGAAGCTGTCACACTTAGGCCATGTGGACTCAGCATTCGCCACCGTGTGTATATTTTGGGGTGGATGGTGGGGCATTGCATGGATACACAGTGGACAAAACAAACAGTCTTACAGCAAGATATCCTCCATAACACCAAATAAAAAAATTCATTTATTGAAAAATTAAACTCCAATATTGTCCAATCAGTGCCGAACCATGAGCCTACACAGCTAATGTGACAGCTACTTTCAATAATTATTATAACAGCATGTTTCACACCTTTCCCATGTAATTTCACGTATTATTTACAAAATCATATTTTCAAATTGTGTTTTGTTGACAAAGTTGCTATAGAAATGCTGAATATGTATAAAAAGTGCAAAACCTTTGAACCGTTTCCCGAGGCAGCCAGTCTGCCATTATGGGTCGTCATGACAATTTATATTCTGCAAATAAACTTGAACTTCCTATAGATTATGAATTACAAAGCATACTCAGTTACAACTAAACAGCCTTCCCTAGACAGAATAAAGAAATGATGTAGTGTAATATTGCTTGTAAAAAGATATGAACAGGAAGCGCCTCAGGGTAATGTAACTTATGAACATCAGAACAAAGAGATCTTTTTAAAGGTAAAATCACGAATAGAAAGTAATTTTTCAAAATGATTCTCAATTTCAAATTTTGGTCCCAGGTTCATAGTTTCATACCTACTTCTTCCAGCAAAATGCTTTGATTTTTTACGATGTTTTTGCAATAATAAGTATTAATGTCAATATTATATCTGATATTTTTTAATTTTTGTCATAATATCTATGTCTAGGTATATATTGATGACATATATCTGACATAATAATGACACTAATAACATATCTTTGACATAATAATGGTATTAATGATGGATTGCATACTGTTGCTACAACTTCTATATACTGACGATATGCATCTTTGAGGAATTATCCCACAGAGCATAGTTCAAGAAGGATATAGAGAAGCTGTCCATCAGTCTGTTGGTCTGCTCATCTAATTGTCAATCCATCTGTCCGTCTAGGTGATAACTCAAATACTGGTCAACAGATTGTATTAATGTTGGTCAGGCTGATACCTTATGGGCATAGTACCTTAGTTCAAGAATTTCAAGATTGCTACTCAATTTTAAATGGCCACCATTTTTGTAAAGAATTAAATCACTAATATTTAACGATTATTAAATTAATTTTACATATTGGTGTCTTAAAGAAATAGGACTTCTGCCCAAGAAGAAATTTTCAAGATGGTCACTGAATTTAAAATGACTGCTGTTTTTTTAGAAAAAAATCATTTTTGATAACTGAGAGACCATACATCAGATTGGGTCCAAATTTTATAGGATAATACCTAATAGGACCTACAAGGAATTACAATGTGACTGCTTAATTCAATTCTTAATTCATTTCTTCTTAAAAATATATTTTGTATTACCAGTATGCAGCCTCTGGGGGGTCAGGCCAAAAAACATGGAATATATGAAGATATTTTCTCATTTACTTGGAAAATGAAAATCTTAGATTTTTGTGAAAAATTCTAACCATTTTCAAAGCATAGGCCATCTTTAAGAACATGTTTTTTGAAAAACAGCTGAATATACCAAATATGCATCTTTCTACCAAATGTGAAGACAATTCTTCCCTTTGTATTTGAGTTGTTTTCTGGACAGATAGATTGACTGAAGGATGGATAGATTCATAAATACATATTAAGTATTACATTCTTACAAATCTAAACATGCCCTCATTTCTCTGTGTTTTCAGGTGAAAATCCAAACCCAGCACCAGTCATATCTGAGATACCATGTCGTGTGTGTGGGGCACGATCCTCCGGCTATCACTTTGGGGCGATAACATGTGAGGGTTGTAAGGTGAGAATCCTTCTGTTTTTATGTCACTACCACAAGTGGTGACATATTGATAGTCTCTAACGTTTTTGCCAACAGTGCTCAGTGGTTGGTGATTGGTGGTTGGCATTCAGTGTCAGTAGCAAATGGCAGGTGGTGACATTTTGCATATTAATGCCTTGTATTGTATTTTATTACACCAGTATATTGTTACCATACCAAGGTGTTTTATTGGCATCATGTTTGTGGTATCATTGTGCTGTTGTCCAATATTTTGTCATTGCATCCTGCTCAATCGATCTAATTTATTCAAAGTTGTAAAGATGTTAAATAATATTAATTGTACAGCTCATGAACAATTTGGTTGGCTATATTGAATTCTGGTGGCCCTGTTGGATATTTATAATATGGTGTTTTTACTACCTTTACCACGCCAATTTATTTTTGCCGTTCAATTCTGTGTGACCAACTTTTTTTATGAGTGCAAAACATAATAAACTCTGATTAATAAATACCTCAATAACTACGAGAGGATTCTTTATAAAATCAGAATAAAAAGTTCAGAGTGAATTAGAAATATACATGTAAGACGAGAAGAACAGTTATTTTATTTTGTTCAATCTCAAATGATTTTTTTAATTTCTGGAAAGGTACATGTTAGTGTAAATCCCCATCTCCACAGTCCATTTCCTCACTAACTTTAATAAGATTGTCGATAAAAATCATAAAAATGATCAAAACTAGAGAAATATCTGTCTTGATTTCAATACAGCAATGATGTTACATTTTGGTCGATGAATCCACCAGTAGGTTGTTAAAGTTTAAATCCATTATTTTGAAGTGAAGTTCTAGTTTTAGAGAGAATATGTTATTTCTAGGATATTTATCAAAAAATCTAATCGGGAAATTTTGATCTTTATTGTTCAAATTGTTCATTTTATATTAGATTTGAAAATATACTGGTTAAGAAGTCGCATTACATGTTCTCATATCTCTAATGAAGTATTAATTTATTTTTTAATCTGTGTTTTATTTCCTTAGGATTCTATTACATTACAGTTTTTTATTCATCATTATTATCCCACCAAAAACAAATTTTGGAATCTATAAAGAGAAGCTGCCTGTCTGTTTGTCTGTCCTTCCATCCATCCATTGATCATTCATTCATTTTTTCTGGCAAGCAATAACTCAAGAAGAAAGATTCAATAAATGGTAGGTGGTGGATTTTGCATGTTGATGCCTTGTTTCTAAATTATCATGACATGCTCCAAATGAGGAGTGACTTGATTCGATGTTTCCTGAGGAGGTGGGATTGGCTGCTACAGGGAATTGCCCTTTCTAGTTATCATTAAGGGAGATCATATAGCCTAGTGTAAAAGTGAAAGGTATTAATAATATTGTGACATTTAACTCAATTCCATGAAATAATAATGTTAAATAAATCATTGGAAGGCACTTAAGTTTAATGGAATTGATTGTGAATTATGAAGCCTGATTGGATTATTGAATTCTCTGCTGGCTTCCAGGAAAATTGTTTTCATAAGGTGTACAAGTTTATACTAGTTTATACTGATGGCGGAATGTATATTTAGATAGTAAAATGTTAAAAAGTTCATCCTCGTCATTATACTCATCACATCTCTCTGAAGAGGAAGGTTAATTATAGAAATATACTCATGTGACATTTGAAAATTGAATAAAGGGCTGATTTCCTTAGATTTCATATATTCAACTTCATCAACATCATCTTTTATTTTCTTTGATTTGTGTTTTAAACAATGACCTTTTGACATTATGTGTTTTGTCATGTGAGCAATTTGATAATTAATGGGTTTGCTACTTCATTGAGTTATAGCTCCTGAACCCTCTTCCAAATACAATACAGTAGAACCTGTATATGAACACCTGGCTAATCCGAACACCTCCCAATCTGAACACTTTTTTTCGGTCCCATTTTTTCCTCCCATTGACTCCCATGTTAAAAAAAATTTGAAATGTGAACACCTCTCAATTTGAACAGTGAATAGTCATATTTGAAAAATTAACCTGTCTAATCTGAACACTTTTCATAAAATTTCACATGTTTCATACAAAATTGCTCAAATGTTGTTATGATATCAAAACTTTGGGAAAAAAACGTGAATGGTCTTGATTATAATAGGGCTTACCAGCATGACTAGATTCATTTGCATCGGATTTTCAAGTTTCTGAAATGCTGTAAAGCTATGTGGTCAAATGAACTATAAACATGTACCCAGAATGTCTTCACATTTCTTCAGAATCCAGAATCTTGCGAATGTAAAACCTCCAAATCTGAACGCTTTATGCCGGTCCAAATGGCGTTCGGATTAGACAGGTTTTACTGTATACCGTATTTGATCCTAAGAGTTAAGCCCAATATTTTATGAAGTTGGAATACATTTGAGGTTTAAATTTTAATGTATTTCCTCCCCAAGTTTATTACTACCTCTATCTCAAAATTTAAATCAGTTATAAGACCCCTTGAATGCGGGACGGGGGGGGGGGGCTTGAAATGTTTATGATTGACACCTTAGAGGTAGTTGCTCTAACATCTTGCTTGACCGATTGATATGATTACATTGAATTTTACTTACTCAATCTACTGTATGACTGTTTTATAGTGGATAAATACCAATATGACCATGAATTTACCATATTTCGAGCTTAAATAGGAGATGTTTACTTCTTGTTTTTTTTTGTTTTTTCTGTGCCTGTCGAAAAGTGGTCTTCGTCACTAGGTCACTTAATCAATCAGAAAAAATGGCAGGCCGCAAAAGTGAATTAATGAAAAATCATAGATCTATTTTTATAATTTGACTATTTTGCATCGTTCTCAATGCCTTCTCAGGGTATTTCCTAAGGAAAAATTGCTTGCCGGACATACAGACCTGTGATTTTAGAATATCTCTGGTCCATGCCATCGTTTGTCGGACATATGGACCTGTACATTTAGAACATGTCGGGTCCGTATCAACATCAATCAGACTGTAAATAAATTGCAAAAGGATTTTCTAATGCCTCTAAAGTTTTGAAACATCGATTAAGCCTATGTTGTACAATTTCAAGATCTGCATCACAGCCCTACTGGTCACTAAGCCACTGTCATTACTCTAAATCAGAACTCTACTCTAAAAATATGAAGTCAACTACCTTGGAGAAGATGCGTATGAAGTGACATTGACACATAATCATCAGTATTTGAGTCATATTGTGTAAATTATCCTTGCCGTTAAACCGGAAGTGAAAATCTGAAATGAAATTTCATTAGAATCTACATAATTTGGTGTCTTTGAACTATAGCGATTATTAAATGTTTATGGTCATGGTCGTGAATATGATTTTAAGCAGAGTTTGAGCTCCCCTAGGAACCCACAAGTGTCCTACATTTACAAAATTAATGAAAATAGTCAAGAGAATGAATGTGTCAAATATCATAGGGGATCCCCTTGTACATGGCCTCACACTGTTGCCGATATTACAAAACAACGATCCGAAATCTACCTCTTGTCGCATTTAGTAAACAAAATGTATTTGCAAAATTTGAAACAACCATTTATTTTTTTGCATTAATCAGAGTTGTCGTTTAGTTTATACTCTGGAAAAGTCAGCTTCCAATTGTCGGACATAACTTTGAAGGTATGTTTACATGTTCATTTAAGCCATCGGACGCGCGTACGAAAATTGGTTGGTCTGGTCTGACGGTCTGGCGCTTAGGAAATACCCTGCGCCTTCTTATGACCTAGGACCTAGAAATATGCAGCATTTTCGCCGACCCATGACCTAAATGTAGCTATTTTTAGAAATTTGAAGAAATATGCATAGCAACCAGATATTCAGGAAAGACTTGATTTCCAGCTTCATTGATGTTGTACAATGTTTTATTACTTCAATAAATAATTGTAATTACAATACAATATATTTTCCATCGACTGGTATTACAATAGTCATTAAATAATTTGAAAATGAAGATATTTTAATCAATTATTTAAAATAAACGTGCATGGTCTATTACGTCATAATAATACGAAACATATGAAACAGCCTGTTTAGAAAAAGATCCATCCAGAAAGCCAAGGGTAAGACTTCCTGAAAACAAACAACGTAGCCTATGTTTCATTGAAAACTTTTCACAAGTGATCAAGACAAGTTTCTTGATTGATTAGAATGATTAGCCAAATTTGTATACATGTATCACTCTTAAAAATTTGGAAAATGATTAATATTATGTAGTTGTAGTTTGTAGTTTTATATATCACTCCCTGGTATGAGTGTGGACAATTTTTTGAAGCTCTGATGAAATGTGTGGACAAAGCCCAGCAAAATGGAGGTCTTGGAGGGAAGGCATGGTTATATTTCATATTTGAACACTTTGTAATGCCGATATTTGGTCAAATGTTTGGATGGTGTGTCAATGAACACCTATAGCTTCAATGAAACCCTAAACATGGTCAACTTATATTGTAATTATTATGAAATTGAAAGTTAAATGGGACTTTACAAAAGATTTGAGATAATTTTCGGTATTTTTTGGGAATTCTCCTTCTTTCCTAGTGTTTAAGGCAAGTAAAGAGCTCCTAGGAACGTCCCATGATGCTACCTGCAATAACCCATCGCTTTTATTCCCAAATATATGTAACTGTTGGAATTTATGAGTGATTTGTCGATATTTTTCGCGTATGGACAATGTTGGGATGTAAACATATGCTAGTGCATCCATATATAAATCATACATCTCAGCAGCAGTGATTCTACGAAAGGTCCTTACATCGAGGGGTGGTATTTTGACGTACAATTAGGATACAATATATTCATATTTAGGGATGAGGACGCACAGATAATGTTTCGCATACTTTTAAAATTCCTTTTACTTTTCTATATAAATCTTTAGACATGCTGTATGAAAATACAGTAAACGAATTAATTTATATCTGTGTGAACTTTATCCTTTGAAATCTCCAAAATAACATGTACATGACTGTGTATTATTTTTAGGATATCCTATG